TACTACTACACTACTACTACTACTACTACTATTCTACTGCTGCTGATCTTGCTACCACTACTAATACTACTACTACATACTAGTGCTACGCAATTATCCTCTTCCCTCAAGAAGACAATGTTTATTTTGAAATTATATATGTATAGATCTCCGATTGAAGTTTACACAATTTTGTTCACAGAGGTATAAACATGAAGTTAATGTTCACACGTTTCCACTTTTTCTCGAGTTTTGGGACGCCAGAGCTAAGATAAAAGACTAAAATTGATCTTCAGGACGTATCTAACAGTTAGGACGTGCTGAAATGCAGTGTCTGATTCACTTCACCTCACTGATTCAACTGCGAGAGAATTTGGTTTATAACAAGGCTGTAATATTCATCTGATTCCAAAGTTTTCTATAATTGGATTCGGGATAAATTAAGAAGACTTGCAAAATAAGACCAATGCGAAACAGAGGAAGAAGCTCGGCGTGCATAACGACGGAACTACTTTGACATAAAGATTCCAGTTGAAACTAATTATTTCTAGATTTCTGTCTGGCCTCTTGAATGTACATCTGAAGTCATAAATGGGTAAAGCGTATTTCTAAGAAACTCTTATGACAACTTCAGATTCTTATCCGCACTTGTGAAATTTTATGGAATAGCCTAATGCTAGATTATTTTTGTGTATATAAAAGAAAAAAAAATGGAAGCCTACAAAGTTTTGCTTCCTCCTAGGGATTAAATTATTCCAGAGTGAGCTTTTCTGATTAACCCTTGATGAGAAGGGTGAAGTACATTGTACTCGTCTTGTAATAAGAGGATTAGATCTTCCACCCTTATCCTCAGCCCGTCTTCCTGCTCACTACCGGAAATTAAGGCTGTATGATGCCATTTCAAGAGGTGGACAACGGTTTCATAACCGCTGTGTATTCTGTAATAACCGCCAAGCCGAATTCTATTCATCATCTTGGCAGTAATAAACTCAGCTCTTCGCAGTCTGACCTAAAACATTGACCATTTCACAAATCTCATACAGTACCGGAAGAGCCGTCGAGGATTAAGTGTTAGAACAGTAGTAGTCAATCGGGAGACACATATTCGTCAAGTATCGTATATTCGCATTTTTTTTTTCAAATGTAAATTCGCTATGAAAGCTTATGAATTAAGTATTGATTGATTTTGATAAGACTTTGATTGACGGATTGTGTATCCCGTTTGCAGTAGCTGTCAGTGCTGCGTGCGTGTTAATGCAGAAGATTATTATAGCCAGGAAAGTGATAGGAGACCTTATTAACGAGAATTATAATTCGTTCTGAAATACGAGTGACTGACAGACCGCTAAATGTGGTCGGTTTGGCGTCGAACTCTTCTCACTGTGGCTTTTATTTGATACTTTATTAGATCTGATAACTCGTCATTTAAAACTTATTTGTTCCTGTAAGATTTGAGGTTTTCACGGCGCTGACTATGAAGAATGCTGTCATCTGGGAAGTGGCGCCTTGTAGATCTTATGTGAACCGAAGTCGAAACGTCGGTTCACACAAGATTTACACGGCGCCACATCCCAGAAGACAGTATATTTCTTATTTGTTCTTACTTCCCCATTTACTCTTTGATCTTCCAAGAGGTCTTTTGTTCTTTTCATATATTTTGACTACAGTTCTGTATGCATTCCTTATTCCTTCCATAGCAATTTCTGTTGTTTGGGATGTTCCAAGGGACCGCCTCTGTGGTCTAGTGGTCAGAGTTCGTGGCTACAGCTCCAGAGGTCCCGGGTTCGATTCCCGGCGCTACAAGATTTTATGAGAAGTAGTGGGTCTGGAACGGGGTCCACCCAGCCTCCTGAGGATATTTGAGGGGCTACTTGAATGGAAAAGTAGCGGCTCCGGACTAGAAAACCGTTGCGCTGACCACGCGACACTCTCTATCCGCTAAAGTTGGCACTAACTTCGCCTACAAGCGGAGGTCGCTCGGTCGGTATAGTTCGCTTGCGGACTAAAGCCACGAAGGAGTCCGTCCATGTAACTCTGTAACATTTCCCATAATACTGAGTTGTTTACAAAGAGCGTTTTAAGCTTCCCGGCCAGTCACAAATGAGCGAGAGGACCGCAACTTGCTGCATGCCTTGAAAGCTGATTCAGTGTAACGATAGGCGTTCTTCATAACTGAAGATTTCCTCGACCATCCAAAACTGGAGGATGCTAATCGGCAGGTGCTCGGAATGGAATTTAACGTACGCTAGTTTGGAATGTCGGCGTGTTTGTGTCATCTGAAGATCTAACTGAACTTCAGAATTTGTTGATCAGTAGCGTCGCCGAGACACAGTGTTAGTAATGGAATGCTCGAGTCTGTGGGAATATAGCAGAAATATGTCGAAATTCACTTGTGTCAGTGGAAGTAGAACTTTGAGGAAGTTCCTCTGAAGATATCATGAGTAAGGCAGCTTATAATATCGAATCTAGATACGCAATCTATTATGAAAGATAACTGAAATTTGGCAATCTGGATCTTCCTGTTATTATCAATTTCACATATTTTAGGAAATATTCGTTACGAAATTTTTATCACTGTCTGTGATACTTGCATTGATATGCGGAATATTTGCAATTATATTTTAATTAGGAAAATACACATAAATATAAGCGAGGAATGAGCATTTTTTAGATTTCACGTGTGCATACATTTCAGTGGAATTATGGAATATGTTTTTGTAGACTGCTTCGTTTTACATGTAGTATAGTTTTTTCAGATTAATTATTTCCTGTGCATTTTATAAAACCGAGTCTTTTTCAGTTGTTTTCATTTGTAACAGGAAATAATGAGCTCTCATTAATAACATTTGCAGCATTAACGAGCCCACTCTGAGCCTCGTGGTCGCGATAAAAACGCAGGCGTAAATTAAAACGGCCCCCGTCTAAATAAGGTTTGGGTTTGTGTTTACAAATGCTCTCTGTGTAAGCTAGTGTTATGACAAGCAAGAGTTCTTAATTATAATTTCTGTAAGTAAAAATCTTGTTTCTAACCTGTAGTAGTATTATTATAGTGTGTCATCTCTAGAGTTTTAAATGAATGAAGGTAGAAACTTCAATGTGAGTTGATAATTATGTAGATAATAAGAGGTTTAGCTATTAATGGCACTCTCATGATGAATACAACGCAACATACGTATTATAATTAAAAATGTACACGTTGTGTAATTTTATGATAACAAAGTACTATATTATTGAAGAAAGCAGTCTTCTGGGATTTGGCACCGTGTATATGTGATGTTAACCTTTTTGGTTCTTAGCGTTTCGAGTCGTCGAATGTGTCGTTGAGTAGCCTCCCCATAGAGGGACCAAATCCCAGAAGACTGCTTTCTTCTAGTCACCGCCGTGAAAGCCTAAAATATTACATACTATATTATTGTTAACAAAATTTAGTTATCCTACAGGTCTGGTGACCAAGGTACCATTCATTCAAGATAGTGTTTAGTGGCTGGTTTGGGAACGGTTCTGTTGAGACTTAGGATTTTATTACTTACAATTTAGAGCAAATATTTCACGACAGACAGAAATTTAAATATTTTTTTTTTCTAAGTGACTACAGAAAAGCCGGTCACTGTAGCCGAGCGGTCTAAGGCATGCAATGTCTTCGCTCGCTCGGAAGCCGGGATCGTGTTTTCGGATCCCACTCAGAGCATGGATGTTTTGTGTTTGTGTTTTTCTGTGTTTGTGTAGAGGCAGAGGTCTTGCGACGAGCTGATCACCCGCCCAAGGAGTCCTACCGAAGGTCTAAGATGTGGTAAACCAAGTGAAACGGAGTGTTTCAAGGAGGTAGTCCAAGGCCCAAATTGGGGCTGTAGCGCCAAAGGAAAAAAAAACTACACAAGAAGTTCCGGGAACATGAACATTTTCCGTACACTGATGCATTACATAATACTCGCACGACCATTAGTATTTATGTAATTATAATTCTCATTTACGTACCCACCAAAAGAAATCCGAAGCGTAGTTGAAATAGTTTGCATCTGAATGTTCGGCAAAACCAAGTTAAATTTTGGATTATTTCAAATAGGTAGTTCGTGACGATAGAAGTTGTTGGGCTCTTGTGGCTGTTGCTGTCAAAGAAAATACCGATATTGAAATAAGCCTTTGGGCCCTAAATATGTAAATAATGCTTGATTCGATTTTTTTTTAGGAATTTTCGGATTATTAATGTTAACATTGTCTAAGAATAATTACAGAGTGAATAACGTAATAAAATGTTGACACGTTTTTCGGAAACATTTTCGAGCCCTAGAAAGAGTGACCTCAAACTGAAAATGGCCACTTTCTTCACCCTGTTTTATTAACGGTTGGTTTAATGTCATATAGTAATCAGGCTTATTTCTAGCTTACTATTCGTTCATTAACCTAAATATAAATAATTATACATTATATCATAAAACTTTGCATATAGTATTATAAAGTAAAAACGTGTGTTGCAAATAAGTATATAAATGTTAAAGCAAGTGTCACTTAACTTCGAACAAGGCCAAGAGTAACCTTGAATGCGCAGAAGAAAAATTTCAGACAAGGGGGGGGGTTCGAGGGTGTGAAAAGTGACAGGCGGCAAGTTGTACAAACAACTTCTGCGCATTCAAGGTTACTCTTGGTCTTGTTCGAAGTTACGTGACACTTGCTTTACATTTCACTAATTTCCGGCTTGTACGAAAAGTTACGTGATTCTTTCTGCAGAAAATGATTACTTCCACGCTTCAATAGGAAACGTGCTGTACAAAATTTAGTAGTACTGGTTCTGTTGCTTTGATATCATTTTGAAAATTTTGTAGCTATCATACGAAAAGATGTGTGTCAAATATCAAATACTGAGTTCCAGGAGGAACTTCAGAACAATATTCATTGCACATTCTTTACTGGGAAATGTCACAACTGGAGAAATATGAACAACTAAAGCGCTGAAGCAGCAAGAAAAAGCGACCAGTTGACCACAATCTGCAGATATTTTTATCTATAATTTTCTTTTCTTTCAGTTTTCTGGGATCACCTTAGGCAACATACTGGCGACTGTAAGTATAGCACTTTCATTCACGCTGACAATTCTGTAGGGAATGAGGTTGTATTTCTCGAAAACAGCAGGTAATTTATAAAAAAACAATTGTGGTTATCTGAACTATTTTTATTATCTGTAGTTCCTCTGAAGTCATATTTTTAGGCAATCTAAACGATAAATTTATAGTTTTGCAGAAACTGATTTCCCGGAGCTTTGCTGAAGTTTTATTCCCTTTGTTAAATCTGCGATCAATCCAGTTACCCTCTGCATACTGACAGACTTGTTATATTCGCGTTCTAAGAGTCAGACAGAGAGTCTGGTGTCTGCATCTTTACAGTATTCAAACATGCCTTTCTTGTCCTCATTTGAAAACGTTGACTTGGCGCGACCTAGTGAAGACGGCACTGTCTCCATCCTTAACTTCGTCCTCAGGTCTTCGGCTATACGTCGCTCGTCATGTCTATTTTATAGAAAATTCGTACTTTCCAACGCTTCAGCGGTGAATTCGAACTATCCTTTTGCCTTACTCTCGTATCTTCCCATAGCTTATAACAGAAAAATTCAGTTCAAATGTTATAATGTTCCTAATAGAATAAACAATTCTTTACACTAATTGGAGTGCAACAGTACGTTTTCTCGACCCTTAAATAACGATGATTGGGACACTGCACCATTTTCTTCCTCCGATAAAATCATACTCTTCTTTGTAACATTGTAGTGGAATAAATATTGACCGTACTGTGTGTGTATATATATATAAACTAATTCGGCCCCTCTCGATAGAACTAATCCTCACCTCTGCACTAGCTCCAGCGATTGGGATCAGCAGATTAGGCTTTCTACCTGAGGACGGATGCAGTTCAGTCTGCGAAACGTTGTTTCGAATAGAATTCAAGAAGATAGATAATGTTCAGAAAATAGATCGTTACATCACATTCCACCGTTACCAACATTTTTTTCCCCTTTGGCCCTATAGCCCCAATTTGGGCCTTGGACTACCTCCATGAAACACTCCGTTTCACTTGGTTTACTATATCTTAGATATTCGGTAGTACTCCTTGGGCGGGTGATCAGCTCGTCGCAAGGCCTCTTTCACCCCCCCTTGGCACTACAGCCCCAGTGGGCCTAGGCCTACCTCCATGAACTCCGTTCACTTCGGTTCGCAAGGCCTCTACCTGTACACAAACGCAGAATAACGCACACACATAAACACATACACTAAACATCCATGCCCTGAGTGGGATTCGAACCCACGATCCAGGCCTCCAACCGAGCGAAGACAGTACATGCCGTAGACCGATGGGCTACCGTGACCGGCGTTAGCAACATTTATATCGCATTAATTAGAAGTGATTCGGACTCATACGTGCCCATAGGCTATTCGATATGTCTCACAGTATGGTCTAAAATCCACCACGATCTTTAATGAATCGAGAAATTAACAGAGCCTAGACTAAGTAGGATTTTAAGTTCTCACAACTCTGCTTATGAAGAGTTCTCTCTTCTGAGATATAACGTTGTGTAGTCCGTTAGAAGACAATCGACGTTTCGCAGGAATATGTCGTCTCCGTGTTCAGAATTGCAGAGTAAAGCTAGGGAAACCTGCATGAAGTACTCAGCAAGTTTACTTTTCAGTCCTCAAGATGGAGGCGACATGTTCGTACGAATTGTCGATTGACTTTCAACGGACTACATGAGAGTCATATCCTAACAAGAAAAAAGACTTCAGGGTCTAGATTATTAGGATTATACATGATTTACAAATTATAAATCACTCCGTCCAATGTGACCTGTAAGTTTTTTACTACGTAAAAACTTAACACCCTTACATGTTTCGGTCTCTGTGGACCATCTTCAGAGGGCAAACATCACTACAAATAGGAAACCACTATCACATAATTTGTTTACACGCAAAGTATGTACACTTATATGTTACAACACACAGTACACAGAATAGAACGTTTCACAAACGTGAAACGTTTGTGACGGACCAGAATGAAACAAATCAAATACATAATTTAATTTTAACTCTCAACCAGGAATTCATTAGGAGAAAATTTATATTTCTTAATACAACAAAGTTATTTATTTTTCCTAACCAAAACTGAAACAAATGGCACTCAATTTGACCACACGCACACATCAAGCTTATTCTTTCGTTTAGCTATTTGGAGCATCTGCCTGAACTTCCGATACATGCACTCTGAGCTCTCTGTCGCTGGTTCAGAGAAACAGACACTATGCTCCCATAGATGATGCGTATTCATACCCCAAATTACCTTCATAAAAGTTATGAATTTCAAGATCTTGCATTGAAATTTAACGCGAGTCTTTCTTCTGTATCGATTTCTTATTGAGTCCTGAATTTTAGCGACTGGATATTTTTATGTCTGCTGTGATTGAACGTGACGTTTCACTATTCCCGCAGTAATCATTAGAATTTGCACCATGTGCATCTGGTGGCACGTGAGATCAATACTGAGCAGAGCAACAGAACGTACCGGCTACCTGACTGACTATATTATCCTGGCTTGATACTCGACTGAGTGAACATCTGGCCTGAAGTTAGGAGGAGACTCACTGCCTTGCTTGTCGCTGATGTTTTTGTATTCATCGAGAGCGCTGCAGAAGCGTTTTGGAACGTGTACGCTGAAGCTAGCAATGAAGGGGACGGCTTCACTTAGAAATATGTTATTGCATCTTAATGTTGTGCTATATTTCCAATTGTATTTATTTCCGTCAGCACAACTTCTTCATTTGCTGTAAATTTAACATTTTGACAATGATGTGTATGGTGTTATTACACCCACAGATATCAAACTGAAAACATGAAATATACCCGCTCTAAACTGGCCAATGTAAAAGGTGAGCAGTGCAGCCAACAGTGAAAGTGCGTATCTGATGATGACCGAAAGGCCGAAACGCATAGTTGATATTACAAATGGGGACGTCTGCACGACAATAATATCCAAGAATGTAAACCAAAGACAAATCGATACTAATGTATGAACGTTCGTTTATTGTGAAAAGGTGTTCCGCTACATGTTTCGACCTTCAGAAAGTCATCATCAGGCGTACTTACAAGAATTCAGTCTTAGTTATTGAATTGTATTTTAATATGGATCCATATTATTACAGTCTGTTTTTATTTAATTTAACATAACAAATGAAGAACCGTTTAAATTACCTGAACTTTAAGTTACATCCTGCACGGGAATCAGGCTTGGTCTTATCGAAGGCTTCGTGTTGAAACATCTTCGTCTTTTGTAGAGTCTGGATGTTGTTGATGCGAATAACATTCAATAAATATAGTTACAGGTCGGAAGTTACCAAGAATTTTGGGTTTAGGAACAGAGAAAGACTAGTAAATTGGCGAGAATGTGTAGTGGGAGGACATTTCCTACTACAAGCGAGTAGCGTTTGTTTGTGTTTCTATTACGACATCGTTGCAAACATTTGCTGTTATGCAAATGTTCTAACATGGAATGGTTATTGTAGTTCGCCTCTCCGGTTACTTGGAACATGGAACCTGGTTTATTGGTCCATTGTTTCTTAGGGACGACTTAAGTTTCAGCTTTTAAGAATCAACAGCGAACATTCTTGAAGCCATGAACACGAAATGACGCCAGTTTTAACATGCGGAATGGAGTAAGTTCATAGACAAAGAAGGAATGAGGTTAATCTTAAGAGGGTTACTCAATAAATGAAAATATTTAGCGTGTTTCATTTAGTTTTGTTGCATTTTAGATGTGAATGTAAGAAATTTTGTTTCTGTGAAACCTAATGTTCCAAGCCCGGGTTAGAATATGTATGTTTAATTGAGGTGCTAATGTGCTACACTTTTTTTCCCCTTGGCACTACAGCCCCAGTGGGCCTAGGCCTACCTTCATGAACTTCTCCATTCACTTCGGTTTTTCTAGATCTTACACATTCGGTAGGACTCCTTGGCAAATGATGAGTTTGTCGCAAGGCCTCTACCTCTACACAAACATCCATGCCCTGAGTGGGATTCGAATCCACGATCCCGGCTTCCGAGCGAGCGAAGACAGAGCATGCCTTAGACCGCTCGGTTACCGTGGCCGGCCAATGTGCTACACTTAGTGGGGTCAATTGTATATTTCGCTAAAGAAAGATTTATATTTAATGCAATTTTAATTTTAAGTGCCTGTGATTGAAGTTAGAGAATGAAGTACGTGTATTTTGGAACCGTGATCTAAGTTTCAGCTTCATTCTTTGGACCTTTGTGGCATCTAAGCTCTGAAACAAAACATACCTCCGAATTTTCCTCCAAACAGATTGCATTTTGTTGGCGATATTTCGTGTTCCGTAAAAACAGGAAAATTCTTGACCTCCCGAATATTGCATGCTGAAGGGTGACCATTCTTCATTTATTATTCATTTAACGATAATTATAAGAATATAAATTTCAATTTTCTTCCAAAATTTCTTACATTTTTGTTGCTAATTATATTCGTTTCTTACAAATTTTTGTACTGTCGGCTTTATAGGTGATCCGGTCAGATTTATTTTACAAAGTGATCTGGTTAAAGTTTTTCTATGAAGAAGTTTGAATAAAGTAAAAAAAGGAAAGCTATCCCTGTAACAGGCCATGAATGCCCATAGGGTTGTGAGACGTTGAGGGTCCCACATTATCTAGACAATCGGCTCAAAGAAGAAGTTCGAATAGATGAAACAACCAATTGGTAAGGCTTCGCATACAACTGGTTGGCAGAAGACTTCCATATGGGAACTGCCTTCCACAGAAATACCAGTTCTGTCTAGATATGCTGAATATTGTAAATGTTTTGCCGTATTTTGTAGGTCGCTGTCTCTGGCTTTTATAAAACTCCCTCCTTTAGCGCTCTGCTGGTGTGTTTGGTGCCGCGGGCTGAATGTCACATAAACACTTAGCCAAGATATAGCACAGACCATATTTTTAGTTCATTAGACCGAAGCCGAGCCGAAAAGCGCCGATATTTACGAATCTTATATGAAAAAAAGAGAAGAGAATGTTCG